GTTACCTGCTTTGAAACTGGTAGATTGTCAGGGACATTATATGAAAGGTGAAATTACAATTTATCAGTAGCTTCATATTTTTTTGTAATTTGGTGAGGTGTTTGAGAAGTAGTCTCACGAGTGAACAGCACAATAAACTTTTGGATAAAAAAAATGGACAGTAGAACTGACATTGACTTGGCGGTTCGCACTTGAGAAGAAAAAGCAAGGCATTCGATTTCGACTTGCTGTACATTTCACTAACTGAAATCCAATCACACAGTGCGAATAAAGTGATTTGCTGTTGGTGTTGCTTGTCATTTCGGTACAGGTCGATTACATAAATTTGCTGAATACTGCTGAATAGTTCCGACTTCCGACAATTCCGACGAGCTTGGTATACATTTGATTGGAAGGTGAGAAGCCTACGTTGAGACGTGTATTCACCACAGGAAGTCAGGTTGATGAGTACATGCGTAGAAAGTCAAGGGTTACTGATTCAATGATGACGTGTGCTTTCCGATACCAGAAGGAGAGAATGATTTAATGTAGTGAGGTGGAACGATCGTACTATACTACTCACAAAACTACTAGTCACCAATGGGGCAAGAGCATGAATTTTGACATTGAAGTAGCCGTGGAAAAAATACAGGAAGAAACATCGAAGTGAAGCATGACATGAAATAGTTCGCGATACATGAATGAACTGAGGTAATCGTGGCGTTCTGGGACTAGTACCGTACGCAGATGTGTGTTTTTGTTTTTTTTTCTGTTATGTCGAAACGCATAACCCATGTATTGGTTTCCTGAATAAATAACCCTAGGATCATACGTGCTCTTGGTTCACAACATTAGTACAGGCATGAACCTCAACCTGTCCGGCTGGATAGATTGATTTGGTTTCTCTAGATCAGAGGGTTAGTGACTATAGGAAATTATTATGAAGTCACTTACCACAAACATTGTCCATCTAGAAACATTGAATGTTTAGGGGCGATAATAACATCACTAAACGATGCAACTCTTTAGAAAATTTATACGGTCTATTAGAAAAAAACTGCCTTTTTCTTGAAAAATTGATTCTGATTGCGTTATTTATTGTTTTCGCATTACATATCGTACTCCGGATACAATGCACAGTCAAACAGAGCGATAACAGATAAGGCGGGTTTTGTGAAAATGTGCTTGATCACTGGCAATATACTATTGATGAGCTCTAAAACGAATGAAACCTGAGTCTCATGCTTCTTTTCGAAAGGGGTTGATTGAACAATCTATCGGAATGTAACAGCTACGATCAGGTGTGACTAGTGTTCCAATTATATAATAAACCAAAATCCCCTACAACTTACCAACAGATGAAGAGTGAATGTTATTGAGCAAAGACCACTCAGGCTGATAAAATACATGCACAAAGAGTACCGTTACCTGACAGCGTGAACCATTGTCCGTGTTTGATCATTGCAGGTAAGTCAGCGTCAACAAAATATGACCAGTTACACTGTCCAGATAAATGAAAACAACCTTATTCTTTCTGTTCGAGGGTGTAAGATAGAGAGAGGCATTAAAAATCAAACTGATCAATAACCGTACGATATATTTCGGGTATCAAGAAACGGCAGATAAAGGAAAACAGTTTTCCAACGTTGACAAAGGTCTTATATATATAGGATATTCAAAGTAAGATAATCCATAAATATTTGCAACATTTCATTCCTTCGAGTGGTTGTTCATTAACTACAATCAGCATGCGGATGGATAAAAGTCGACACAATTTTAGTTCTCCTTTCCTTATAAGGACTATCAGGTCAGACTCTGGTTAACCGAGCGGGATAAAATGCAACAACGGTTATCCTGATGAGTGTCTATGCCAGATTTATTGCTTTCAAGGAGATGACACTATACCAGATCAGGATATTTGTATGGTAAGATGCGTACGACTTTTTGCTGTATCACGTCTATTAGAATGTTGATTCATAACGTACGCTAAATCTCTAACTACACTTACAGAGATCGCAGAAAATAAGTGTCAACTTGCGCATAAGCACAAACGAGTAAACCGATAGACAATGGATAAACAGCATAGTTGAAAAGTAACGGTTGATCGCGCCTCACACATGACGACTTTTTAAATCTGGTCTAGATGAAATAGGACCTCACCAGCATTTCTACGTTTAAGTATCCTCATTTCTAAATGATACTTTTGACCGTTCACATCGGTTTTGTTACAAAATGTTACAACATTGAAAGGAAAACTTACATCAGATGTTGAATGCTGAATGGTGTTATTAGTCAAGAGTGTTGGGATACTTTCTATTTAGGTTTGTTTTATGGTTAACCTGTATGTGAAACGCTGAAAGGTATATACTCTGTTATGGTAAAGTAACAGAGGCAAAACTCAAAGTTGGTGCGACTAAATGGATCAATCGTGACTGCCAAAATGCGACTGATGTAACAAATCCCGAAGAAAACACAACCGGAATGTATAACGGGGAACAAAATTCGGATACATGGTATGTCCGGAACGTTAAAGTACAACCCGGAGGACGCCGACTTTTTCGAAAAGGTAGCATAAGTAATGTGTTCAATGGTCAACATTGGCTGGGAACAAACGATCGGTTTCGTAGTTGTTGTCACTTATCAAATATGCGTAACCAGTGAACTTCAACCACACACTCCATGTAAGCTTGTTGAAAGCAGCACTGATCCCAGGACTCTATTGAGACTGGGTTAACGGCACAGCTAACTCGGAACCGAGTTAGTGTCTACTAGTAACAGTATGAACGTTTCAGTAACAGGCCAACCAAACGTGTTACCAGAATTACCCAATGAAAGTTAGTTAATGCGGATTGTACATGAAAGATAATCTCATATTTGTAAAGAGAAGGAATAGCGCAGACAGGCTAGGAAACCATAACCGTGGACCATTTGCACAGTAATTGAGTTCACACAGAAAGTTGAAACATAAAATAAGGTTAGTCATGAGGTAACGTGTACAAGTGTGACTGTCGGAAAATACTGCTGTGTAGTCATAAAATCGTTAAACTGGAAAATTACTGATGAGTAGTCGGGGATTTGGTTAATTTCAAATTGAACATCACTCACAATTGATCGCAGCAGTCGCATTCCCATAGACTTTCCACTCGGCCCCTTTCGAAAAGAAGCACTAGACTCGAGTTTCGCTCTCATTAGAGCTCGTCAGTAGTGCCTAACGTGAGGTCAATGGCGCAGTGGTTAACACGGTTGCCTCATGAACAGCGTGTCCGTGGTTCAAGTCCCGGCAGTGGCGATGATATGCACTACTGACGAGCTCTAATGAGAGCGAAACTCGAGTCTAGTGCTTCTTTTCGAAAGGGGCCGACTGGAAAGTCTATGGGAATGCGACAGCTGCGATCAATTGTGAGTGATGTTCAATTTTAAACTGGAAAATGTCAATTTATTATGGAATCAAACACAGTAAACAACAACCATTTGATCATAACAGTTTGAGCATTACAGCCATTCTCCAAAATGATTGTGCAATTAGTCTCGTCACTCATGTGAATTACTTGCTGCTTCCCTAACTCAATCGCACGTAATTAAAGCTAATGAGATATGCCCGTGTGCTTTGCGTCAAGTGATAAAGGAAAACGGGAAGCTACCTAGATTTTACGAGTGAATAAATGCATCTACTGAATCGCTGAAGATGTGAAGCACTCATAAGCCACAGTAAGGCTATGGACGTCAGTCCAGTTCAGTTCACAGAATTTGCAGTGAATAGCGGTATTGCCCATTTTCTTGCGACTAAGACTTCTGATGAGTCCACAGTGTTACAGTAATTGAGAAACAGGGTGTTTAATTTCATTTTTATGAGGAAAGACCCAACAATTGAGTGGTGTAACATACCTGTCAACAAAAAACGTGCACGAACTACTAACTATCGTATCATAGTTTGAGTTAAAAACGAATCTGAAGGTGGGAACTCTAGGGCACGAAAACATCAAGAGGAACCAGGAGAAAAACGAAAACAAAATGATTCATTTTTTAAACAAACGAAGATGTGATGGGGAACACAAGCTACCGAACAGAATTAACGATGCTAACAAAAGAAAAAAATATCTATGCCTTTCGTCATAAAAATCTGTCTTACATGGGCTGTGGTTAAATAGCCAACTGACATTCCTTAAGTCGGAGCTTAATGATCATTACCAGCTGGGAGATAATTCATTTTAAAACGTTACTGCATGATATGAGAGAGATTGGACGTAAACATTTGGTTTAGATTTTTGTCTTAGTCCGTTTCTTTTCCTAACTTTCAAGCGTTAGGTTTCATTAGGTAAAAAAAATGTTCATCCCGTATCTGGGAATTCTTCCAAAAGTTCCAAACTTTCAGTTTGGTTACTTTTTTTACATTTTGTTTTGAGAGAACAAAGAATTCTTGGCCTGATAGTGTGTTTCATTCCATTTTAGTTTCACTAACTTTATCGCGAAACAATTGTTTATCATCTCTAAGGCTTGTCTATATTTTATCGGGCAGGAACTTCGTAGTTGTGCCCGAAATATCCGAATATACCGCGTTGATAATGCAGACGTAATTTAATAAACAGAAGATCGGTGAAAATGTCAATTGAACGAAGAATGGCGAGTGCTTTTGAAGGGCAGTTACAATCACCTCCAAATGGTGAAAATTGTATGTCACAAAATATCTCTATGAGGATAACACTACATGATAAAAATAACTATTAGTTCATTTTCAACAAGACCAATACATTTGTAAAGTTTTGATGATTCAGCGTCGTCAACTTCCCTCCCAAAGTGTTGTTCTGTCTTGTTAATGCATCTTTTCAGTCGGTATGTTGCGTGTCAGCAACCGATCACTTAAATAATTAACCACTCAGCTCATCGCAACCATATAATTCCCTGGTTGACTTTGAATTGCTGAGTTTATCGCGTGATAAATTATTTACGTCTAACATCCAACCGCTCTGTTGAGGGTGTGATCCAACATAAAAACGGAGTTAGCACAAATGATGAACAGTCCCTAGTTCGGCTGGATTCGAACCAGCAGCAGAAACAGCATACTCAGATACAGCGAGTGCTCTACTGATTGAGCTACGAAGCCACGTTGGAAACCCACAGATGTGACATTTAGGTTTAGTTACCCACTTAACTCATTGCATCAAACAGAATACACTAGACGGACTGAGAGACTGACTACTGACTTCCATACTTTTAGCATCTGGGACCTTTAAATCACATCCAATCTGCCATACTGCCAATCAGTGGAAACATCAATGTCACCATTGTAACCTTTTTATAGAAAGCTATGGACAAATTCTGTAATGGCCACTTATCATGCCCCATGACAGCTATAAAGCTACAACTTCATGCAGTACATGGTGCAGCTGGCCATGCTGTCAATAAACTACTGTACACGACTGTGACACGAAGATCAGCAAATAATCATGTGCTTTTTAGCATTTGTTGGCACCCAAATTTGTGCTACTAGCATATACGGAGTAGTGTAAAAATTTATTCGAACTATCTTTGAATCCTGTTTTGCATCCAGCTAGTGTCCTACTTTCTACTGGTTAGCGGCATCCGGTTTGGATTAGTCTGTCACAGTGACCGAAGCCAAGCGACACCAACCTTTAACCACCACCACAAGTGGCTTGCGCTGCACCACTTTTGACTGCACTCATACATCACGTATTAAGTGTAAATCCGGAGGGATAAGACCGGTATTTGTGTGGGTGAGGCCTTTGTGTCCACCCGGCCAATGTTGGTCAGCAAATTTATAGGCTAGCTCCGAAATGAAGCCCCTAAATCTCGAGAGATACACAAAGAGAGACTGCAATAATAAGATCTACATTCGGAAGAGAAATATTGAAAATATGACGAAAGAAGTATTCCAGCATAGCAGTACATGTTAGTGCACCCTAGAGAGGATATAGAGGGAAAATAAAATTCAAGGTTGGACTGGAAGAA